CTTTGTTTTTCCCTAGCCCTATGTATATGAGTATATATGATGAAATGATAGTGTGGATTAGTAGGAATGACGAATGTGGGATATGTATGCGAACTTAGCCTTGTGTATAAATGAAATTGAGGAAATATAAATTTGCCCAAGTTATATGTGACGGGCAGTTTACAAGCCAATTGTGTGTATGCGTGTTATATTATGGATATAATTGGTCAATCAGATATATATTGTCCAATTGGACGTGATCAAGACCCTAAACATGGCTAATGACTTATGGTTTTGATTAGAGATGCTCACGTGGCAAATTTTAACTTAAAACAATCAAAATGCACTTGAGTGTCCAATTTTCAAACGAGGTATTGGATTTAAATGAAACCAATGTCATTGGTTAGATTTTGAAACAAGTTTTAAGTGCTTAAACCATCCCAATCGAATATCGAATGCAAAACAGCATACTTCTAAGGTTCGTATCAGAATCAAAAATTTGACAATAAATTCTACTACGTGCACCATGGCACATGGCACAGAGCGGGCAGCTGGGATCTCTATGCCACATGCCACAGTGCATGAGGCACGAGCCGCGACACATGGCCCTTATTTGATTTAGTTTGGTTGAATTATACATGTTTTCTAGTTGATTTTAAGATGTTATTAGATAATGCTTCCGTTGTGTAATGTTTTACCACTTGTGTATATATATATATATATTATTAAATGGTTTTAAAAAAATTTTATATTAGGATTCTAAGTTTTCAAAGTTAATTATTTTGGTTAATAGTTAGCATGGTGGGTTGTATGGTAATGTCGTTAAGGACATTACAAAACCAAAGTTTAAAACAAGCTTAATAAAATAATGGAAGCATAGAAACATAAATTAAGTCATACAATAATCAAAAGGGAAATTTGAACACCTTTCAAATTGCACTATCCATTGTGGCAAATATCAAGCTAAAGAAATGCTGTGGCCAGGTCAATGGCGTTCTTGAGTGTCGAAGTTGTCAAAATTAGAGGTTCATGGCGAGTCAGTGACTATTGAGTGCTAACTAGAATGAAAGGCAAAGGATTTTGAATGGTTGGGGAGTGGAGACTCTAAAATGCATTTAACTGGAGATTATAGAGAAATTAGGTTAAGGTTTCTTCTTTCTTGAAATGAAATGAGAAGGCAGGGGCAGACAAAATTTAAACCACAGCTTGACAAGACAGGGGTTGGCTACACATCAACATATTTTTTAAATTTTTTATTCACCTAAGGTAAGGTTGGACAACATTATCCAACACTTCAACCTTAACCCTAGCCCTACCTGATGGTTTAACCCTACCCAACCATGCTTGATATTCTTTAGGCAGCTTTTTCATCCATTGAGTAGGGCATTTTATTGTCAGACCTTGTCAAGCATATCGGGTTTTTGGGAACCTTGAACCACTCTAAGTATCACATCACATGAATTTCTAAAATATCAACCATTCAAATATAAATCATGATTTTTATAATAAAATATAGATATACATATTCACTTTCATAAACCTTATAAACATTCAAATACACAAGTGAAAGGATTAAATTGTCTGGTTACTTGAACCCTTTGTCATAAAAATAGTTATCGTGGCAATTACCAACTCTACAAGGTCTACTAGCTCAATGGGACTCAATCAATATTTATTCTACAAGATTAAACAATAATTTATTATAACTTTAATTAAATCCCCTCTTTAGCCTAATTTTAGTTACCCGCGATACCCAAATTTCTTTAACACAAATAACACTTACACAATACTCTATTAATTTCATTTAACACCTAAGCACTCAGATAATGTTAGTTCTTCATCCACATTACTCCTAATATTCCAAATTTCATTTAAGGTTTATCCAACCCTAACCAAAGGTTCCAAATCACTACAAAAACCTTAAACCAAGGTTTTAGAAGTTTAATTTAACTTCTTAAAGCCCTAACTAAGTTAATGGGTTTGGTCGAAACCCGAGGAGAACTGAGAATCAACACCCATTCAAACTAAAACAACAAAAATTCACATAGAGATGGAGAGTGGATAGGAAGCTTACCCAAGTATGTGGCTAGCTCAAATTGCCTCCAAACTGTCCACAAAGTAAAGCTTTAGTAGAGCCACCAGCCTTTTATATTGCCCTTCTCATTTTCTTTCTTTTATTCCTTCTGTTTTGAACACGTGCAACAATATGATAAAACCATATTTTTGTTCATTCACCCTGGTGCATGGCATGTTTATCGTAATGGATGGCACAGTGATGATCAGAATATTTTGGGCCTCACTTTGATGCCCTATTCACATGAACTCCAATCTAGCTCTCTTCTAAGGTTGTCCAATGATCTAATAACCTCATTAGCCATCCAAAAATATCATTAATTAATTAATCACTCAACTTTACCAAATTTACCCCCTTTTAAACACAAAAATTTAAAGTTAAAAATTGATGATATTACACCATAATTTTTTATTCATTATCATTTTAAATATTAATCATTGATATAGTAGTTATGTCATTTTATTATTTTACTCATATAGGTAATTGCACTATTTAACACTTAAAAGAATTTGCAAAAATAACATCCCATGCACCAACGCATAGGTGATTAGCTAGTTATGGGTAAAAAAAGTATATTGGCCCCTAAACTATGGTTTGAATTCTTTTTACGAGAGGTGTTAATATTTAGTGTTCAACTATATCACGAATAGAATTTTCTCCAATAAGAAGATACATGTAAGTAATAAAAAAATTGTTTTTTTTTTGCAAAATTTTTTATTTTTGTGCATATTAAAAATATAAACATTTTATTTTATTTTTGAACTTATTACCCCTTGAAAAATTAAAACATAATTAGAAAACTATATATATATATAGTATGATAATATGATATTATAAAAATATAATATAAAAATAGCTTTAAAATGTTAGTAGTCACAGTTAAATATGCTTTATTTTTGTAACAATATAAAAAAGTAAGTATAAAATAGTCATACAAATTATTTTATCATTAATAATTAAAAATATAATATAATATATGTATATCATTTTAATAATATATTATTTGATATATGTATGTAGTTAAATAATATATATATATATATATATTTTTCATATAATAATTATTATATAAATAAGGTTCACTTTCCTTATTTTCACTCTCTTCCATTTTCTTGCTGCAAGAGATTATTCTTACACTTTACAGATGCTATAATTACCAAATCATATTTTAGAGTATCATTTTTGTCATTCACTATCATTCCCATTAACTCGGATATTGAGCATAACTTGAATATTCTTAAATAAAAAATAAAAATTCTTTGAAATGAAATAAATAAAAAATTATATGAAAATAAAAAAGTGATTATCATAAATACCTCCTCATTATAGTACACTTTAATCATTTTTAGAATGTTCTACATAACGGGTACTTCCCCTTAAATTTTTGGGCGATCTAAAACTGTTTTTTAAAAATATTTTTGGTAATAATTTATTTTAAATGAAGGAGAATATATAATATTTTGAAGTTCATATTAAAATTTATGAGAAAAAGAATATTTTAATTTTCTAGCATAAAAATAAAATAATGAGATGAGATTTGAATAATCTATTTGAGCGTGACTGATGTTTAAATTTAGATTCGATTGTAGCGTTGGACATAGACAATTATTTAAAAGAAAAAAAGAAAAAAAAAGAAAAAGACAATTGTCTAAATGAAAAATTACTAAAAGCCTCGTGAAATGCAAAAATAACTCTCAAGTTTCATAGGCCTTTATTATAAATAAGTTTTAATATACATTTACCAAAATACCCTGATCAAAAAATTAAAAAAAAAAATCTCTCCTCACGGTCATTTTGGTAAGGTCATTTAGTAAAAGTACTCCAAAACTAATGTCCAATTAAGATATATGGGATTTAAAGTTAATTTTACACTTCATTGGACTTTTTGAAAATTAAATTCCTTCTGTGGACCTCTCAATGATTTTTCCTATATAAATACTCTGAGAAAGAATCCCAATTCGGAATCGGGAACCCAGAGCACAACCTAAAATACCATCAACATGGGACAGTATTGTAATTTCAACCTTAAAGTGATCCTTGTATATTGGGGTCAAAGTGGTTGTATGCACGAAGCCCACAGGATTTAAGGCTTGTTTGGATATCCTTTTAGAATTGATTTAGGATTAAAATCATGGTTTTGAAAAATTTTATCCAAACACCCCAATTTTTTCAAACTCCATTTGATTTCAAAAACTCCATTTAGAATAAGTTGAAATTGTTTCATTTTGAAAAATCAATATCATAATCAATTTTTAAATTTATCCAAACACCATCACATTTTAATAATCCATTTTTTTTTAATCATTTTTTTCAATTAAAATCAAAGAAACCGCGTGGCTGCGTTAGTTACATTAATCAATTGGCAACAGCCATTAAATTAAATTAAATTAAAATAAATCTAAACTCAGGACTCAGCCGCTTAAACTTCAATCATAATGGATAACGCCACGTCAACGTGTCCGAAACGACATTTTACCCTCGCCGGAATATTCCTCACCGACCGGCTATGTCCAATTCCCAACACGTCTAGCGATTTCCCGAAAACTATATATATCTCTCTTTCATCCAAATTTTTGCCCTAGAAACCCTCGTTTCGCCTCCTCTAGCCGCAACATGCTCTTCCCCACCAACCACTCAATTTCTCTCCGGTCTCCCCTCAAAAACTCAGTAAATCCACTGCTTCTCGCTGGGTTTTTCTGGAAATTTGTTTCGTATGCCTGTTAGGATGAACCTCTTTTGTTTATTCCCTAGGATCTTGAGTTTTCGAAGATGTTAGCTGCTTCCTCTTGATCTCCCAGTCGTGTAATTTTAAGAGGAAATTTTGCTCACTGCGATGGATACTGTGGGAATTACCTTTTCCCGTAGACGTCGCACCAGCTCCCACGCTGACCCGGTCATAGCGCCCGAGGGTTTAGCAGAGCTGGGGTTACAGTCAAGGGTGGAAGGTCGGGGATCTGATCGCGTTTCCATTGTAGCCAACCATTCGATTTATTATTGCGACCCGCGACTTGAAAATGGTGGGTGGTTCTCGTTTTTTTCGCCTGAGCTCTCGAATGTGTGCTATTCCTGAAAGTTCCCTTTTGTGCCCTTAATTTTTTAATTAAATGTTATAAAAATTGCTGTTTAATCTGGTTGGGAAATATGCTTTACTTGCATTACAATTAGGTGTTTTATTTATTTGTTTGTTTATTTTTGTATGTGGGATATCCTTGAAATTATGAAAACTTTGGATTCTGAGATCTCACAATTACTTTAAGAAAAAAGGTCAAGTATAGAATTTCCTTGCTACTGCATAGTTTCCTGACGTTATTATAAGAATGTTCCTTATATTCATCTCATTAGACTGAAAGGTACCCTAACCACAGTTATGAAGATTTTTTTTTGTTTGGCAATTTTCGATGCATAACTGACTGAAATGTACACTTGATGTTATAAAGGAATGTTTCGTTTGTTTTTGTGAATTAATGGATCATATTGAATCGAGGAATCGATATTTCACACCGACATAGCAACATGACAAATTTGACGTATATATAGGTCATGTAGTTTCATGTCGTGTCCAGTATGAATATTCGATCCGTCAAAACCTGCAAACAACATTTTTATGGGTGTTTGTGCTCCATATTAAAGGACTTAAATGAAGTGTTTGCGAAACCCCTGCCAACTGTTCTGGCCTTGATAGATACACTGATTCTCTTTGCTCCAGGATTCTGTTTTAGTTTACCCCAAGTTTTATGGTGGGATTCAACCTGGGCTCTCCTCTGTTTTCCTCAGCCATGAATAGCACACTTTAGTGGGTTCAACACTAGGAGATAACGCAATGAATTAACCTGTGTCATTCTGGTAGATCTATTATGTATTTGCGGCCCTTAATCCCCTAAGTGAGAGTTTCTTGTACGCTGGTTGAAGTAGATGTTGACTTGGTTAACTACATGGAAATGTTAAATGTTACTGAAATTAAAAATCTTGTTATTTTAACATATAGTTATGGGCTGATGAATGTGTGTGATTTTATAGTTTACAGATCAACCAAAAAGCCATTGAAACAGTTCAATTCATTTGAAAAGAACTTATTGTTTGAGGAGTTTCTTATCCAACAAACTTTCTGTACTCTATTTCTTAGTGACACTTATTTTGTGTGAAATAATAAATAAGCTAAGGTCAAACTGAGTATCTTCTATGCTTGCCACATTGACCAAGCATTTCCCTTGGGCAGAGTATGTTATCAACGTCACTCCTAAACTTTTGATATGCTTATTTCTTTTGCCTGTCTATATATTGTTGGTTGGTTACGAATGCTTTCCTATTTTTGGGATGCTCCTTTAAATGGCCTTATTGAGGAAAATTTTGTTTTGTATCAGATGTTGCAAATGTGAAAAGTGATACTGAGTTCGCTCTGGAGATGGATTTCCTGAGACTGAGCTCATTAAGAATTCTAGCATGCTGCCCAATCTTCAGTGTGAAGAGGTATCCAATGGTACGCATGCCAAAGGAAAAAATTGCCGAGTAATTTCTTCCAAACATGAAGGTTTGCCATTCCAACAGAAAGCAGGAAAAGTTCACAGGAGTGTTTCTTCAAGTTCGAAGAGGCTGCGAATATCAGAAGATTCTACAGACCTGAAAGGAATTGAGAATTCAAAGGAATCTTCTGATAAGCATGCATCAAATCATATAAAGTGTGATTCTTCAGGTATAATTCTTTTGACTGTGGTTAGTACTCAAATTACCTGTCAATAATCTATTAATTATCCTACATCTATGTTCTTCTAAACTTCTCTTTATCTTGGCATAGAAAAAAGTCAAGTATCAAAACAAAAGAGCAATGGTAGCAAGCGTGGGGATAAGAAGAACATTAAAGTTCCTTCGAAGGCTAAATTTGACTCATCATCTATGAAGTTGGGTGCAGCAGTCTTCAACTCTGCCTGTGGAGGGAACAACTTTTTTGGTATAATTTTGGGCATATTGTATTTTTCTACAAATGATCATAAACCTCCTGTCTCTTCACTTCCTTCATGGCTATGTCCTTGTTTGATTATTTCCCTGGTATATATGTACTACCATGTTTTAAGTTATAACTCAGTGTATAACTTCACAGCATCCCCCTTTCAACCTGTTTGAAATATGATTTTGGTGTTTGTAGCACGTTATCTGACAATTATCTCATCTGTTTAATAAATTCGAAAAAAACCTTTAGTTAGTCAACTTTTGTGCTATGTAAATGACTGAATGTACGTTCTATTCTCTATCAATTATCATAACAAAAGAGCAACGGTAGCAAGCATGAAGATAAGGAGAACATTATAGTTCCTTCAAAGGCTAAATTTGACTTATCGTCTATGAAGTTGGGTGCAGCAGTCTTCGACTCTACCTGTGGAGGGGACAACTTTTTTGGTATAGTTTTGGGCATATTGTATTGTTCTACAAATGATCATAAACCTCCTGTCTCTTCACTTCCTTCACGGTTGTATTCTCACGTGATTATTTTCCTGGTATTCTACACACCATGTTATAGCTCAGTGTATAACTTCACAGCATCAACCTTTCAACCTGTTTGAAATCTGATTTTGGTATTTGTAACATGTTATCCGTCAATTATCTCATCTGTTTAATAAATTGGAAAAAACCTGTGGTTAGTTGACTATTATGCTACGTGAATGTACATCATATTCGCTTAAAGAAATATTAAACATTAAGTATTCTGAGGTCTTGTTTTTGGCACTCTGGTTGTAATGGTATAAAGCCAAAAATCGGTCTATTTTGGACTTATTTTTGTTAGCTTAAAAGCAATGAAGCGGTTTTGGCCTCTTATATTATTGACATTATATACAGGGTCTGTTGGTTGTGCTTCTTCAATGTTTTATGGAGTTTTTCTGCCTATTAAATGCCATGCTTCAAATGACTATAATTGTTTTTGTATTTGGACTGCAGTAGAAGCACTTATTGATAGTCAGTTTTTTTGTCCTTTTAGATCTTCAGAGTATCATTATTTATGTTC